TCCCGGTTCTTCCACTTCCTTTACGTAAAGAGCTCTCCAGATATTTAGTCAACAAGGTTTGGGCTCAGGTTTAATTCTTAGGCTTCCGTTTGCCCTGTGCAGAATTGCAGCCATCAGCTTGCTTCATATCAAAGGTTTCTTCCTCCTGAAAGTGCACTTTGGAGCGGTAGCGCGGCAGAATTGGTTCTGAGAAATGCTGGCAAATGCTCACCTTTTCAAGCCCCTAGTTTGCAGAACTAGGCTTTAAAAGTTGTCCCAGTGCCCATAAGTGTGTCATTCCTACATTGAGAATATTTGCCTTCACAATTCAAGTTTGAAAGTTTTCTGATTTAATTAAGTCAAGTGTTTGATTGGACTTGTACTTTTTTAAACCGATACTGGACCTTCCAGTTTTCCTCCATGTTTGCAAGAGCTGACGAGATTCACTAAGTCCCACAGCTGACGTCAGGCGATGGAGGCACCAAGTCATCATTGATGTTGGCCTCCCTGGCACGCAGTTGGCCTCCGTAGAGACCTGACCTTATCTTTGATGTGTGCAAAGCCGGTTTTACCCTGAGGTTTAAGGGAGTCCTTGGGGCACCTGCTCCTTGATTTCTCCTTGTTATGCAGTCATGAAAAGAGATGCCTCGTCTCCCCAGTGTCCATCCTGGGGAGCTCAGAGGCTCTCCATCTGCTGCTGAACGTAGCAGCACGGTTTGATGGGGCAGTCACCCGGGATGCTTGCAAAGGGAGACACGCCAGGGACAGTGTGCTGCTAGTTATTCTGAGCAGAGGCTGGTGTCAGGAAGAGGCAGAGGGCTGCCCTCTTGCATTTCCCTGTCCTCACCCTCCATGCGGCCTCCTTTCCCTCCAATGTTCCTGAACCTTCCTCTGTTTCTCCTTTGCAGTCTGCTGTAGAACTTTGATTTCTTTATAACTAGAGAACGTCCGGTAGCCGCTCCAGTGCCCTCCCTACCACTCAGGTTGAAGCCTACGCCAAGGAGCTGGTGGCAGCCATCCAGGCCTCTTACAGTAGACAGGGGTGGGGGCACCACAGATGGCGTGATGCTTACATTGCTGGACTCCCATGTAGTTGACTGCAGTTCAAGTTCCAGATCCAGTTGCTTAAAACTCATGCCAGGCACGTGTGTGCATGCCTAAAATCCCGAGAAGAAAATGGAGAAGAAGGGATTGCAGAGTGATCATCTCCCTGGAGGATGATTTCTCGCTTGCGCTCTCTCTCTCTCTCTCTCTCTCTCTCTCTCTCTCTCTCTCCAGTGAGCACACACACCCTGTAGCAAAAATATCTCTATAAAAATAAAAAGAAATAAGATTGGGGTGGACCAGCTGATTGCATAATAGCTATGTCACTGGACTCCCACATGGCCAACCGTGGTTCAAGTCCCAGATTTGGAGGCTTGAAACTCACACAGGGTGCATGTGTGTGCGTGCCCAAAATCCCAAGAGGAGAATGGAGGAGAAGGGATTGCAGCATGATCATCCTCCCTGGGGGGTGATTTCTCACTTTCTGTCTCTCCAGCAAGCGCACATGCCCTATAGTAAAAATCTCTCTCTAAAAATTAAAAAAAAAGAATATTGGGGTGTGGGGAAGGGAAGCCCCCAAGTCCTGAGTTGTGAATTCTGTTTTTCTGGGAGGGAGGACAGTCCTATTTGTTGGGGGAAAGCAGGGAAGAGGCCGCAGCTCTCCAGAGGTCACCAGATGCCAAGATCCCCAAGTCCTCAACAAGGAAATGCTTGGCTGATAGCTATTGTGTGCTGTGGCCCCTTTGTCTGAGCAAAGCTGTGTTCTGTGAGTTTAGCTCCTTATCATACAAGCATGTGTCTGGGACCAGACAGTAGTGTGGTGGTTAAGGTTACTGGATCCCACATGGCTGACTGAATCATTCAAGTCCAGACCTGGTAGCTTGAAAAACACACCAGGTGTTTGTGTGTGCATGCACAAAATCCCAAGAGGAAAATGGAGGGGAAGGAATTGCAGCTTGGCCATCCCCCTTTGGGGTGCGCGCTCTCTCTCTCTCTCTCCCTCTCTCTCTCTCTCTCTTTCTGTGTGTCCCAATGCAAATTAAATTTTACAAAGAGCGTATCTGAGTGCATAATAAAGGGGCACAGGCATCCATGTGGATTGAGGCTCCACAGGTACCCTGGAGCAGGATTCTCAAACCTCTAGATGCAGGAGTCACTGCGGAATCTCAGTCGAATGCAGATTCTGGCTCAGGAGTTAAGACAGAGGAGAACCTGCTTCTCACTGAACCTACGATTACAATGCACAGCCCCGCTAAGGCTCCCAGCTCTGTTTCCAGAGGGACCCTGCAGTCCCCAGGACTGATGCCCCACCACGCCCACACAGCTTACCTTGTCTTTGGGTCATGGAGTCTCAGCAACGCTCTGGCAGATGTCCTTGCTCGGCCACACCCACCTGCGCCCTGTTCCTGACTGCACAGTGGCTGCCTTGTGTTCTTTTTGGCAAGCCTGATTGGCAAGTAAAGGGTGTAGACAGGGTAAAACTAGAAGCTCCACCTTTCTGCAGAGCAGGGGTTCCCAGCTGCACCATACGCAGAATCACCAGGATGACTCCACGAGGGAAACATGCATTTTAGGGGCTGGCCTTGTTGCCTAGTGGTTAAGGGAGCTAGGTCCCACATGGCCAGCTGAGGTTCAAATCCTGGCCTGGGTGGCTTGGGTAAGTGTGGCTGAATGCTCCAAATCCTGGTAGGATGGAGAATGGGGATTGCAGCCAGACCATGCGCCACTAGGGAGTGCTTTCTGCCTCTCACTCTGTCTCTCTGGCTAGAACATGTGTCCTTTAGCAATTAAATATATATACACACATCTATGAATAATTTTGGATATTCTTCAGCATTTTAGAAATTATTCTGGGACCAGCAGTGATTGTGGTTCGAGTCCCAGACCTGGCGGTTTAAAACTCACACCCCGTGGGGGTGTGTGCATGCCCAAATTCCTGAGAGGAGAATGAAAGAGAAGGGGCTGTGGCCTCTGCATCCTCACTGGGTGTGATTTCTCACTTTCTGTCTCTGGCAAGCACACATGCCCTATAGCAAAAAATCTCTCTCTAAATTAAAGAAAGAAAGAAATTATTCTAAAAATAATAACATGTGCTGTTGCAGAGACAAAAGAATTTTCTTCCTCTCTGCAGTTCACAAAAATCACTGACAACAAGCAGATAAGTAAGAGAGAAGGAGTGTACAGGAGTCCTACAGAATAGGAATTCCAAGGAGGGCCAAGGGACTGAACGCTTCATACTATGTAGGTTTGTGGGTAATCTATGAACGGGTGAGGAGGGAAAGTGGGAAAATCTGTCTTTCTGGGCCAGGTGTCAGAGGGCTGGTACCCTTCCTCCTGAGCATAAGAAGTAAACGGGAGGAGGGGGAAGCCTGCTAGCAGCTGCTGCTGACTTTACTGCTGTAAATGTTTATCTGTTTCTTTTACAGAAGGTGGCTTACTTTGTAAAGCTAATTCCTAACCCTTGGAATAGTCATCTCAAAATAAGCCAAAGATGTATGTTTTGGGGTAGCAGATTTCAGTTCCCATACTTGCCAGATGATAAAATGTAAAAATGATTTGTAAAACGTGCATCTAGAAAGGGGCCAGCAGGTGGCATGGTGGCTAAGGCACTGGACTCCCACATGGTTGATGACAGTCCAAGTCCTAGACCTGGTGGCTTGCTTTCTCACTTCCCCTCCTCTCTCTAGTGAGTCACATGCCCTAGAGCAAATTGGAAAATAATAATAACGATATGTAAAAATTAAATAATAATCCTCTTTTTAAAAAGTGCATTTAGAGCCAGCTAGTGGCATACCTGGTGGTTAAGGCAGCTGGATACCACATGGCCTACTGTGTGGTTCAAATCCCAGACCCAGTGGCTTGAAAAATACACGGGGTGGAGCCAGCAGGTGCTGGACCTCGACGTGGTTGACCACACGTTGAATCTCAGACCTGGTGGCTTGAAAATCACAGTGGGTGCATGTGAATACATGCCTAAAATCTCCAGAGAATGGAGAAAGAGGGATGACATGGCCATCCACCCTGGAGAGTGATTTCTCACTTTCCCTCTCTCTGTGCCTCTCTGAGTCTCTCTCTAGTGAGCGCATGTGCCCTATAGCAAAAAAGAAAAAAAGAAGAAGAAGAAAGAACAATATGCCAGGCATATGTGCATGCATGCCCCAGATTCCTAGAGGAGAATAGAGGAGAAAGGATCGCAGCGTGGTCATCCCCGGGTGTGGGGCGGGGACTCTCACTTTCCCTTTCTCTCTCTGTCTCTCTCCATTGAGGGCATGCACTCTATAGCAAATTTTTAAAAATGTGCATTGAATAGTTTCTGATATCTATACCCACACATAGGCATGTGTGACACTCCCACATATATTTAAGTTTCGTATTATCTCCCTCTACAACCCCATCCCTGGTATTTTTGAGGAGTCTAGTGGACAAAGTGGGGAGAACTCGAGCTGGATTTGAAGTGTACCCCCTGAGAAGGAAAGTGCCCTGAGGTAAAGACCACCCTGTGCTAATCAGGGCAAGTCTAGCTATTGTAACAATGACCCAAACCTACAGGGACATTAACCCAAATAGGAACTGGATACTCTGAAGAAGTCAGGGAGGTCTCCCCCGTTCAGGGCCCTCCTCTGTCCAAGCCTCCATTTGTGACTTACAAGGTGGACCCTACAACTCCATTCTCCATTGGTCAGAGCGTAGGCACGTGGCCCCTGGACCTTTGGGAATGAATGAGTCCTGAACCCGGCTCAAGGAGGCCCCAAGCCCTGGCGAGGAGACAGCAAGCATGGTGGGACAGCCAGCCTGGAGCCCAAGAGGCTGTCACGTGCGGCACATGCGTGACGTCAGGCCCGGGTGTGGCCGCGGCTCCTAGCAGTGGCCCCGCAGGTGCACTCAGCCAGTGGAGCCAGTGATGGGAGCCACAGAGGTGAGGTGGCCGTCTGAGGGTGAGTGCACTTTTTCTTTTGTTTTTTTTTTTTTTCCCACAGATATCGCCAACGGCACCAGTTCAGGGGGGTACCGCCCGCCTCCCAGAACCAAAGAAGTCATCATCAATGGCCAGACAGTGAAACTTAAATATTGTTTCACCTGCAAGATTTTCCGGCCCCCGCGAGCCTCTCACTGCAGCCTGTGTGATAACTGCGTAGGTGAGTGGAAGCTGGGGCCTGGGAGCTGTGGGCGGTCTGGGCTGGGGGAGCTGAGGTCCCCGGAATAGATTCTGGGCTAGAGAGCTCCGCAGGGACAGCTCTTTCATCCTGGAGCTGGAAGACAGCGATGGTTAACGTTTGGTGCCTTCCCTCTTACCCCTGTGACCACTGAGCTGTTCTCCAGGAGGAGAGTTCGCACATGTATTTTTTCTTTCTTTTACGTCCTCTGACACCCCAGGCCTTCTCCTCCCCATAGTGCATGCCCGAGGGGAGGTGTGTGTTGGGGGGGTCTTCTGTTCTCAAGGGCTGTAGATCAGCAGACACTTGACAGCAATTCCCCCAGGTCCCTCCATTGCCCAAGGGCTGGCCATGCACACCCAGGCGCTGTGCCGGTTGGTCCTCTTCCCCCAGAGCCAGGGCACGGGGGAGGCTTTGGCATGGAGCTAGAGGCAGGGATCCTAAAGAGGGGAAAGAGACAGAGGCCAGGAGCCGTCCTCATCCAAGGTCAGAGTGAGCATCTTCACGCTCCCCAGAGGCCCCCAAGACACCCCCATGCCCGCCCGTGTACCAGCCTTCTCCAGACAGTCCAGGGAGCCGGCCAGAGGGAATGAGGGAGACAGGGTCCTTGCCCTGACCCAGCCCCAGGCTTCCGCAAGGATAATTGGCAAGCACTTCCTGCCACTTCCGGCTGAGAGCTGCTACTCACGCCCACGGGCCAACACCCTTCCTAGGCAGGAGCTCCCGAGACTGAGCTTGTGGAGGAAACGCAGACTCAGTACAGGAAAGGCAGCGGGAAGGACAAGGGCCTCGCCTCGGTGGGGAAGGCCCACGTTTCCACTGCCCTTGTAGAAGCTGTGTCCGGGGATGTTCCCGGGAGGATGATGGAAATCCCGCTTCCACTGCCCGCGAGGCTGGGAGTAGCCTGGAACAGGCCCGTTTCCCTGGCAGTGCGTCGCTGATGCCAGTGGTCTTCTCCAGTATTGGACTTGGTGGTCGCAATTTTTTTTGAGAGAGATTTTTGCTATTGGGCGCACACGCTTGCCAGAAAGACAGACAAAGCGAGAAATCAGCCCCCCACCCCAGGGGGGATGGCCACGCCACAATCCCTTCTCCTCCATTCTCCTCTCGGGATGTTGGGCACGCACACACATGCACTTGGCATGAGTTTAAGCCACCGGGTCCAGCACTTGAACCGTGGTCGACTACATGGGAATCCAGTGACATAGCCATTACACTAACTGCTGGTCCTGGTGGTCGCAATTTTTGAGAAAAAAATTGTATAAAGTACTTTGCACTGTGCAAAGCAGTCTTCTTTGTGTTTTAAATTGACTTTATCCTAAATTTAATAATCTACACTTCCATACGAAGCCCATGTTTTCCTTTGGCTTTATTAGCTCAGATGAGTTACTTTCAGCCGTTGCCCCCCAGTGGAACATGGCCTTTCGTTCGGTCTTTCTCGTGTCGTAAGCAGCCTGGAGATAAGGGCTGCAATCTGGCCCTGGATGGCCTGGGTCCAGATGGTAGGTGCCGTGTGAGTTAGACCAGCTGCTTAAGCTCCCTGTGGCTCGGTGTCCCCACGGCTACAGTGAGTCAATAGGAGTACCTACCTTGTGGGATGGTGGAGGGCCTGAATGACCTAGCCTGTGGGAAGCGCTCAGAATGGTGCCTGGCGTGTAGTGAAGCCTCTGTAATTGCTGGTCTGGTCGCTGTCACGCTCCTGCTCCACCCCCTGGCCGCGCTGGTCCCAAGGCTTTTTCTGTACAGTCTCGATCTACTCTAGCTCCTGCAGATGTGATGACCAGAACGACACCTAGTGCTCCGTGTGGGGACACACCGAGGACACAGGGGAGCATTCGTTTGAGTTCAGATACTCTTCCTAGTCACACCACACTTGTCTTGGGACCCTTTTAAGCCTCGCAGCTTGGTGGCGTCAGTTTCTCCACAGGGCCATCTGCATGTGGGGGTTCTCAGGACCCCTTCTGGGGTTGTCATTGTGACCTCTGGCCTAGTGTATGATGGCGGCCTAGGGAACTGGAGGACGGGGGCACGGTGTTCACACACGCATTGGTTATTGGCACACCCTCTCCTGTATCTCACGACGCATTCCAGCCTGCCTGGGAACTGTTACCTAGTCACTGAGCTCGTCCTCTTAATCATTTAGAAGCATTTTGGCCCACTTCTAGAGATAGCCTGGTATTCCCGCTCGCCCCTTTTTATCAGTTGGTCTCTATCTCATTTCCCATCTCTAGGCTAGATTCCTCATTGGGATTAAGCTTCCTTCCCCATCTCACAGTGACTCCTTGTTTTACATTCCCTTGGGGCTATTATGACACTTTCTAAAATTCATATAATCCCTAGCATTTGTTTCCTACATCGCCCGTTGGCTTATGTGCTCCTTAAAGAGCGCGGATGAATTTGATGTAAAATCCCTTGACTGAACCCATGCATGCCTTCCCCGGGTTGCCGGTGTACTTACGCTGTCGTCTAACTGTGGAGCTGGCCTCCCCTCGTGTAGACTTTGCCAGCTGGGAGAGTAAGAGCCATCGGTCCATCATACCAGGGGTCTGCACCGTTTGCAAAGCTCCAAGTCCCAGTAGCAACCCAGCACTCTGCCAGCAAGCCTGGTGGTGGTCTGTGTGGGGCACGGGGGGACCAGAGCAGCAACGGGAAAGGCAAAGGAGAGGAACTGGGCAAGTGTGGGGTGGGTGGGTAGGAGGAAGACGGCCAGGAGCACACTGCCGGAGGTGGCCTCTGAGTGTCATTCAAGGGTCCTGGGGCTGGGTTTGGCAAACCCCACGCGGGCCCCGCTCTAGGAGGACAGGAGAGATAAGTAGAGTACGGTTGATTTGAAACAGAACTGCTCACAGCATTCTTCGAAAACCACACAGTGATACAAAGCTCCACGGCTTTGGTTTTCCAGTTAATTATGTGACATCTGGGCCCTTGGAGTGATCAATGGGCAGACCAGCAAACTGGACCTTCAGCATTTAGGA